TCTCTCTTTTGTGAAGATAAATTTTTTCTTTTTTGAACCGGGCTCATTTCCATCTTTTTTTTGTTAATTAAAGCAACCGGGATCAATTCTCTCTTTTTTCCGGGCTCAAAACTTATTTTATCCTTCAAATAAAGAAGCATAGCAGTAGCTTTTCGCTATATGGACAAAATATTACAATCAAATTAAGAATATATGTATTTTTTTATTTCTTACAGTTCATGTTTTATTTGTTAATTAAATAGTGTGTGGAATTTGAGATCACGCACATTTCAAATGTATGTAATTACGTGCGAAGTTTGGGATATAGTTGTGTTAGTCAATCCACTGACTAGCGTGCTTTGTATTAATATTCCCTGCTCGATTTCGACTGCCATATTTCTTGCGAGTTTTTCTCTATCGATCTTCTTCCGCTAGATGAGTCGATCAGTTCTCAGTTGTTACCTATCTTTTTCGACCGCGACCACACAGATTACTAATGCTCTACATCTTGTTGTAGCATTATATATCTTACTATTGCTCGTGAGATTAATGTTTCTGCAGCAATACTATATTGAGAAGCACCGTTCAAATAATGTTTAATTGCCAATGTTCGAAAGCCAATGTGATGCCCTTCCTATTTTAGCGCCATTCATGTGATTAAAACGGAGGAATTTTGCGGCTGTTCATACCCTGATTATAGGTTCTAGACTCGATTCTAGAATTTTTAGACTGTTGTCAAAAAAAATTTTGGTCTAAACTAGGTTTTCTCGTAAAAGAAAATTTTTTTTCCCTAGAACAATAATTTTGTAAATGTTGAAACACGTGACTTTTTACTATTTTGAACAAATACGAACGAAATAAAAGTAAAAGCTAAAAATATTTAAATTTTGACTAGAGAGGATGGCCAATACAATGATGGGTGTGAAAGATGTGTAGCCTTTTTGATTTTTGAAAGGCAACGAAAGCAAAGTCACAGAGTAAAAATGAGCCAATAGTTTTGTGATCCGATTTTCGGTATGGTGCAGTTTTTCCATCTCGTACAACTTATTAACAGGCGTGAGTTAACTACTTTTTCTATTTGAAAATATTTACTCTTTACTTTTTTTTATACAGCACATTAAAATATGAAGCCAAAAAATGTAACAATATATTCCTTTTCATTAGTAAAAGAAGGGGGTGAGATATTCTTCACTTTCTTTATAAACGGTGTTTGACTATACTTTACACATTTATGTTGTATAGCCTTTAAATGAAAAGGTTATCAATAAGTAAAATTTGAAAAATGAACGTGTCATCATCTTATCTAATCTAAAACACCAAAAAGAGAAAAACATACAGCGAAAGAAAACATTGAAATAGAGTATGATTATAAATATGTTAGTATATCTTACATAGATTGTTTCATCACTGAATATTTGTTCGCTAGATTTATAATGATGTACACACTAACATTAGCTCTAATTACATTATGCATTTGTATCGGATCGATCCGTGAGTATTTACTTCATTTCAATATATTCCAAACCTTTTTTTCTTGTCAATTGTTTGTTCCGCAGATGGCAAATCACAAGAAAAAAGTTCTGATGTAAACACTGTTTTACGTGGTAGAATAACTCATAATGGAGCAGGTACAATACCGTCAAATTCAATACTTTTACTTGAATTACAAGATACAACATTACAAGATACAAAAGCAAAAACAATTGCGAAAATTCGAATGAATGCAAAAAAATTTCCCATTTTATTTACGTTAAAATATTCAGCTAATCAAATTAAACTACAGAATACGTATACAATATCAGCTCGAATTGAAGATAAAAAGAAGAAACTTCTATTTATTAATGATATGGTAATCCAAGTGATACCAAAAGGAAATGATCGAACAAAAACAATTAATGTTCCTGTTATTCGAACTGGAGGTATTCATATAGAACACTAGTAGTGTATTAAGCGTATATTTTGTTTTTAAACTTATTTTAGTCGTACAATCATCTGGTAAAAAAATTGTACGGCCTTTTAGTATACCCAAACAAAATTCATGGCCAAACCTTGTAGGTATGAAGGGAGAAAAGGCTGTCAATATAATAAAACAAGAAACTGGTAAGTAAACAAACATCATTACTGATTTTTGTCATTAAAATTTTGTTTTTGTGATTATCAAGGCTTTACAAATGTAATGATTATAAAGCAAAATTCTGCAGTTACTATGGATTTTCGTGCGGATCGTGTGCGAGTCCTTGTTGATGGCAAAGGAAACGTTGCCAGTGTACCAATTATAGCTTGATAATTCTTCGTATATTTTTGTTTCTTTTATGGTTTGATCACATAACATAAAATTAAGAACATTACATATGTAGTTCACATTTCATATTCAATAAAACGTATACCGAAATATTTCTATGTTGAATGATAGAAGGTGCTGTTTTTCTAGGTATCTTAGTAACAACAGCAAAAATTGTAAAGAGGAAATATCACAAGTTTGAAGATAGTAATATGTGCTTGCATCTCTAAAAAGTTCGCATAGTCTATTGCATGTGTTTTTCAACACGGTAAAAGTCACGAAATACGAGACTTTTTTTCACCAATATTAATGATTCTTGAACTTTATGATTTTTACTTACATTTTCTACTCAAAACAAACATCACTCTATGTCTCAACGTTGTCGATAATCTGTATTCCACCCATTTTTGAGATTCTCAGCAGTCACTGAATACCCCCAAGCAAAAACGACCTAATTTTTTGGGTTATTTATTAACCCAAAAAATTAGGTCGTTTTTGCTTGGGCCGATGCTGAGGTTTCAAGGAAATCTGATGATACGTCTGAACTATCTCAAAATAAGAGTCTTTATATCTGCTTTGAAAAAAGACACTCTCATCTATGTGGAAAAAAGAAAAAATTTCTACATAAGCTTCTCACGGTGCAAACCTGACTATTTACCGTTTTCATTAAGCAAGTGAATAGTAGTCAATCTTTACATCACACGAGTTTTACAATACCATGCCATTTGACTTCATAGATCATGAGTATACAAATTCAGCTGAAATAGAATCAATTAATCACTGTTTAGTATTTGAATGAAAGAAAACATGTTTTCCGAATGAAACACAACAGAATGTGAAGAATATACTAGTGTCTTCTCATCTTATTATATACAAGCTATTCTTCTATCTTGCCGATCATCTACGCATTACTCTAGTATGCTGCTCATATATCTTTTTAGCAGTTCATCGATACTTCAAAAAGTCAATTAAACTGAAGTGGAAAAAGTTGACAGGCGCTCGGATATATCGTTTTCATATGCATACTTCTTTTTGGAATAAAATGACCTTGTCGTCCCGAAAATTAGTTCTGCTGAAGGGATTTACTTTTAAGTTAATAATGTACACAGTTCTCCTTCTTAACCCTTTACACCCGCCGGTCCCTTCCAAGGGACGTTGATATAATAGATTTATAAAAAGAACGGATCATCAGCCAAAAAGCTAGATTATTACTAATGTAAGACAATTGAGTAGCCTAACGTTTGATTGAAAGAAGAAAGAAAAATTTCCATCTTAATCCGATACTTTGATCCGAATACTTTGAATGAAGTTCAAAAATGAATTTTTGTTTTTAAAATATTTTCTATACTTGTAGCCACTAAACCATTTTCTAATTTTGTAGTTGATAGTTTTGGTTGTATGGATGTACTTTATAATAAAATCAAAGAAGAAATTTTATAGCATTCTTCTTTGCGTAAAGGCACTATGAATTCACTGTCTCTTGGAAGGGATATTAAGGTGAAACGACATGAAAAGTGAATTTTTTTACCTTGACATCTTGTTAGCGTGGATCATTCTATGATCACTCGCTACACATCCGAAGATGAGTGAATGAAAATGGTGTAAAGGGTTAATGGTTAATTACTTAAGAACGAAAAAGTATAATGTTAACAAAACCTAAAAGTAGAAATATATGTCGAAATTTATTAAACTCTACCAAGAATCGGTACACAATTTGTTGATATTCTGTAACAATTTCAAGCAGATCTATACAAATTTTACACAGATTTTGAAGAATTTCAGTGCAATTTTGTCGAAATTCCGCACAGAAAGTTGCAAATTATAAAATAGATGAGTCCAAGAAATGTGCATAATTTTACTTGAGATAGTGATACCTTTTCCGGTGTAAAGTTGTACATATAGTTGGTGATCCTGTATGGAAACACTCAGTTTCTGCATCATCCGTGTCGTAATGTAGTTTACTATATTTTCACTAAAAATTGTCAAACAAAAATTTGAATAAAAGGAAGTGGATATCTAGTACATGTTTCATGTGTTCCTGTTTGTGCCGGGTTTATGCATTTATATTTCTCCGCAACGTGATTCATTAATCTACACCAAATATGTCATAAAATTTAATAATATTCAGAAAATAAAAAATAGATTCTTGCTTCTTCGAATAGCCCTGCTTTTTCTTATTTAGTCACACGATTTTTATTTTCAATATGTTCTTTACAGCTATTAATTATTTTTAAGCTGAAACAGCAGTAACGGTAAAACACAATACGAGATGAATAAATTAATATTATCTAATTCTATCAGATAGAAATAGGCAGCGTGGCCGAGTGGTCTAAGGCGCTGGTTTTAGGCACCAGTCTTAACAGGCGTGGGTTCGAATCCCACCGCTGTCAATATTTTTTTTTTGTTCTGTGTTCTACTGCACAGAACAGAAAAGAAAAAAAAGAAACGTGAGACTTATATTCAACCAAAATAACATAAATATATTTATTTGATGGAGCGCATCGATAAGAGTCGAAGTATACCCTTACTTTATAAAAATATTTACACTGATTTGAAAGTTTACTCGGATTATAGCCATAAATTCTCTCGCGTTTTTTTGTCTTTATGGATCAAATGGATGAAAACTTTTAAGACTAAGACTGTTTATCTACGAAAAGTGAGAGAGTCATCAAACTTCTAGCATCCTTGATCAATGGTATATCAGATAGTATGATAGCAAAAGGAAAGAAAAACACTATTATTTTTCAAATCATCCACGTGTTCACACAAGTAAATACATAATGAAAATAGGTTTGCCACCTAAAGCGCTACAAATAACACTAATAAGGCAGAAAAGTCGAAAAAACGCGTTGATTATGACATCTCAGATGACTTGGGTAAAAATTAATTGGTACAGCAGTTGAAAATATATAACGAATTAGATAGTATCATACTGCTACGAAGCACACGATTAGATTTTATTAAAATCCACAGTAATTCTATCTCAAGCTTTTGATGAATAACACTCGGCACCATCAGGAGAATGAATGACAAAGAACATAGAAACTACATGTATATATATAAACAAATATCTGTTCTTTTTCCCGTTTCTCGTTTTTCATGTTTATATATATACATGTAGTTTCTATATTCTTTGTCATTCATTCTCCTGATGATGCCGAGCGTTACTCGTCGAACGCTTGAGATAGAATCACTGTAGATTTCAATAAAATCTAATCATGTACTTCGTAGTAGTATGGTACTGGCTAATTCGTTCGGGTGAAAATGATCACTGGCTGAAAACACATCCTCAAAACATTTTATAGGCAGTATTTGACTTTATCAGTTGAGTAACTGATCCCAGTTTGAGTACGGATAGTGGTATAGGCAATCGTTAATTGTGTAGTTATATGCTCAAATTCGAATCGTAGAACTCCCAGTTTCTGCTGAGGTATGTGGACTATCAATAGAGATTGTTGTTTGATGAATTATAATTCCATTGCAAATCTGAATTCAAAACTTGAATAAGATTTCATGTAGACTACGATTTTGGTTTTCGGTACATTTTTTTATTGCTATCCTGGTAGTATGTGATGAGCAATCACAAAAACGGAACGGACTCAATAAAATGTACTGAGTTGCATGGAGGAGTTCAAGACTACTTTATCTTTGTTATCAACTACTAAGACAGCATGGCTTGGTAGTTATTTGTTCGTCACATGATCCAAACTAGTGTGCCAAACCTTGGCGCTAACAGCCATATAATAACCTTATAAAGAATGTAGAAAGAGTAATTCAAATTCAGTTAGTGTAATAGTACCTCGGACCAATCGTTCGATAGTATACTCACTACATTGTGATGTACGGTATCCGGTTAGCCCTCAGGACGTATCGGGAAGCTAGCACGTGGTTAGCGAGTGTGTATGACAGCTCAGTCAGTAAGGCGATATAATTGTGTATCAGGCTCCCCTTACGGCCTAGTAAGTGGTAACTAGTAACGATGCAGGTGATCATGTCTAAAGCCTGCCAGCTACAGGAAACAAACCACTTTTTCATACATGAATGACACATTACTCACGTGGAAAACTAACCAATCACTGAATGCAAAAAATCTGCAGAGATTTTTGCTAAAAACTGAGGCTTTGAGATGGTTCTTTTTCCAATAGAAACCAGCTAGTAAATTCAAATCCATATATTATAGTGTATATTTTAAGGATGAGTCTATTGGCACTACCGGGCGTGCCAGCAAGAAGCTATTGGCACTCTCATGCCAAAAACTTTTCTGGAAGTGTCAATAAGGACGTCTTCTGACATATGAGCGGCTCGACGTTTGAGAGTTCCTGAGCTATACTTGACTCGCAAGATTCTGATTGTATATTCGCGTCGTTACCGGTATCTCGCTCATCGAGATGAGGGAGGTCACGTCGATAGCGACAGTAAGTGAGAAGCTAAAAAAAATCTAATACATGAAAATTGGTATTGACAGTAAGAAGATCATCCGATATTTAAGCAACCCAGTCTTCGGAGATCGCTTATCAGTCTACCGCTATGTTAAACTTCTTTGAACTCACCTGCTTGCTACAGTAATGGTTGGTTTCTGTTTTAGTTTAAGTTTTTGTTACACCAACTTTTGTTATACTGATCATTAAAGGATATTATATTGATCAGCTCGAAAGCTCTAATCCAGCCATGTATAAAAAAATGTCAAAAAGAAAATAGTACTGTAACTTCGAATTTAGAGATGAAATGTATCGATACACTTTCCAAGGATATGAAATAAAACTTTCATTCCTTATAATGAATGTGAAAGTAGTGAAAGAAAAGCGAATAACGTTATTTATTTTGTCTCGTTCTGTAGTCTAACGTTAGCCGTATATAGGAAGAAAAGAAAAGATGTCATATCTTAGGATATGTGTGAATGATAGTGCTTTCTTACGAATACCATCTCATCTCTATTCGAATTACGCGTTCTCTCGACATTGACTCGATTTATTCGGAAATTATTTCGGATTCACCGGCTTCTT